TTCCATGTCTTGGAAAGCTCAGGATGACACTTTGCTATGCCTGTTTGCTTTTGTGAAAAACACCACTGTAATGAAACCGTTGAGGCAGTTGCAGGCTGGAGAAATTTGCATTAGAAACATGAAGAAACAGGGTATTTACAAACCATATTGCAGGACAGCACTGGCAATTTTAAAAGCAGTAGGTCCACGTGAGTGGAGCTGTCCCTCCTGTCGCTGTACAATTGAATTAGCCAGGAGATCAAGTGTTGCCTGCATGGCCAGCAGCTGCTGCCACAGGATCCTGGCACAGGCAATTGCCAATGTCAAAGGCTGAGGTCTCCAGAGCTGCTAGGTGGATATTTGGTGAGGAAAAATTCTGGCTTTTACCTGTTGTCCCTCATCTCTGTGAATGTGTTTTCTATGCCCTCTTAGTCCAGTGACAGAATAAATTTGTAGGAAAGCCACAAAGAGAAAGTTTGAGGATTATAGTCTTTCCTTTTTTACAATCTCATGCTTAATCTTGGGGGAAAACCCCCGAATATTATTTTTATTAAATTAATCTTCACAGAGCTGGAGATAACTGAAATTTATGTAGTGTGTAACTTGGAATAGAGAAAAAAAGGCATTTCCTTAGGAAATGGAAAAAAAAAGCCCTTTCAAAACAAATGGATGGATTATTACACTGAGTGACTTATTATCAAAATGCATCCAGCTTTATTGAATGAATGTAATTGTTAAACTTTTTAAAAAATGTAATGGTTAATATTTTAATATTAAAGTAAAAGAATCTCTAAATAGATGGATTTCTTTATTTCCTTTTTACTATATAAAATTCATAAATGATCTGTGTGCTAACAAAAAATTAGGCTTTAAAATAAAATAGGTATAAAATTTTTGTATAGCTACAGGTACTTGAAAAAGTCAGGGAAATCCAAAACTCTTGTATTTATCAGCAGTATTGTTGCCAAAAAATGAAGTACCAACCCTTTCTAGGTAACAGTACTAACCGTACTAACCTTGACTGCTGGAATGTTGCCAGCTCTTTGTCATCCTGCAGAAATATATATTACACTTGAACTGAGAAAACATGCAATTGTCCCTCCCCCTCTTCATTCCCACAAACTGGAGCAGTATTGTGTTAGCCTGAGTTGTACTGAGCCGAATCCAATCTGGAATTAAGAATGCTCCAGGGCATTTTTAATAAACTGTCATTCATTTGAACTCTAACCTCCTCTAATTTGCAGAATCTGGTAGCACAGATGTATTCTTCAGCCACATTCATTTCTTTTCCTTTCCTTATCTTGGTGTGAAACACTGCTGATAGCACTTAAAAATGTGAAGCTGCAGAACAAGTAGAGTTCATTGAAAATAGACTCAAAACTAAGAAACAATTTCTGTACTTTAGTTTGCTGGGTTTCTGCCACTCTGAAATGTAAACTTAATTCTAGTGCAGATTTTAATAAAATACTCAAAGATCTAAGGTCAGTTAAGCTCGTTCCGCATGTATGAAAAAAAAAGCTTTTATTACAAAATGTGAAGGATAAAATGAGGCCGTTGTCTTGCAAATGGGAAGAAAACCCAGCTAACAACATATTCAGAGCATAGAATACTCCTGAGCTAAGGGCATTCACTGAGGTCCTCACCATAAACTCTTTCAAAATTTGTATTCCTGGGAATTCAAAACGTGCAGGGTTTGTGATTAGGAGCATTTACAGTGAGGGACAGGGCTGGGAAAAGGGAGCAGCTTCCAGGTGGGAACTGCCCCCATCACCTCTGCCCCTGCCAGGTGGGGCCGCTGGGCTGGGGCAGGGATTGCCCAAACTCAGAATTTTCATCTATAATACTGCCTTCAGTGGCTAAAGGTAATTTTCCATTGTAACACTTCTGCTACAGCTATACAGTTAACATGGTGAGAGGATTGTTTGTGCAACTTCAACAGTCACATGTATACATTTGATAGGAGTTGATGAAAAAAAAGAATCAGTTTCTTGTGCACATGCCTGTCAGTTGAATTCAGTTGTAGGTGTTGGTAGGACAGTTAACTAGGAAAATGTGCAACCACGAACTTGGGTCACATTCAAAAAATGAAGGAAGAACTAGCTGGCAAATACTGTGCTGAAAGTGTAAATGAAAATAACACTTTCAAGTTGACACGTGTTAACGATTTGTGGTTCAGAAAAGTTTTCATATTTAAGTTTTAAAAGTTTTTTTCCCTTCTCTTTTAACTTTGATCTCTTTTGTCTGGTAATGTAAGAGTGTGTTATTAATAGAAATTTACAAATCCACAGCTTTGTTTTCCACAAGTCTTTAATTCCCTTAAATGTTTTGAAATGTAAATTATGTGATATATGTGATAGGAACTTGGGTGAGGGTTCAGTCAATCATCAGCTTCAGTACCAAATTGAGAACATGGAAAGGGAGCACAACGATACTAAAAAATATAGAAGTGCAAGAATTCTGCTTTTTTACATTCTCATTTGCCCAACAAATCTGCAAGTGGGGAGTGTCTTGGTGTTTAAAGATACTCTCTCAAACCTGGAGTCTATATGAATTAATGACTTTTCAGTTCTGATCCTTACTACAGTTTCCATTAAGATATGTTTTCTGGAATTAAGTGATAGAGTGGGTGCTCAGCAGAAACTAGATGCAGTTTTTAAAAGGTATAATGAAAACCCTATGAAATAACCCAGAAAACAGTTAGAAATGTCATAAGTTTTAGTAGTTGTGTCTTGTCACTGTTGAAGACAGCATGGGATTATGTTCTTGCACTAAAGCAGAAGATGAAGTCCCTGGTGTTATATTAGAAATTGACTCTGTTTTTAAAGAAATATGATCTGACTCTTTCCTTATGGCCCATTAATTCTTTTTTTCATGGGATTTAAGTGCAAATCCAGCTTCTTTATTTCTTCATTTCCCTCAAGTATATGTTCTCTTTGCTGCTTCTACTAAGAACATTGACTAGACAGTCATTTTACAAAGGTGTCCCAGTCATCATCTTCATGGTTTCCTCAGTGGAATCTTGTATCTGCAGAGACTCATGAGTTGCACTCCCTGCTATTTCATTGATATCACCATTACACTGCTTTCCCTTTCTGAATGGAAGGTTGAACATCAGTAATTTCAATACTATTGGTAATTCTGACCTGCATTCATGAACTACAGCTTCTTATGCACTGCAGGGTATCAGACACATTCTAGTATTTCATTGATCTTGTTAGAGTCTTCATGTGGACGGAGTGGAAGGAGTTATTGGCAAACAGGCTGTGAGTCCTCACTATAATTCCTGACAACTCTATTATTTATTTCTATTATTTATTGAGCTTTTTATATAGAACATTGGAATTGAACAAAAATGTGGCTTATAAGCACTGATTGGCTGCTAGGAGGCTTTAGAGAACAACAGTTAAGCATGGGCTTGGGAGAAGTAGCCACACTGATGATATGAGCACTGAGGAATTTGGTCAGACTTCAATTCACAGCAAAAGTGAACTCCTTTCAATGCTTTGCATAACATGGATGAATGGAATATATCCTCTTCCCCTTTTTATTTTATTTCATTTAGAAGCTTTCTAGTTTATGAAACAAAAATATTTGGACAAAGGAGGGGAGAAAGAATATAGAAGGAGAAGGAAATAGAATATTCATTATTCAAATAATTGTCTCACAAAAAATAAAATCTATCTCACTTTTTGTGAACTGTATGATTTGAAGAGGGAGAAATCCCACTGGCATGCTGGTTGATGGAGGCCACTCACATAAAATGATTCACCCCACAAGTAAAGCTTCTGCTGCCAGACAGGTGTCATTGTATAGTCTCCATTCTTCAGTGTGTACTTTGAAGTTATTCCTGCTTTGGGTAGGGATTTATAGTGCATTGCCTATAGTGGTCCCTTCTAATCACATTATTCAATCATCCTGAACTTTAAAGGTAACTGCTCTAATAAAAATCAAGTTATTTTCCTCCTGATAACTGTGAGAATCTCTGAAGCAGGAAGTGTAGGAAAGTTGTGGTGATCCCACTCTTTCCTCAGCATGGAGAAATTCAAAGTTGGATCAGATTTTCCAGGTTTCATTCGATCAAAATCTTAAAATCCTCAAGGACTGGAGACTTTAAAATTTCCCTGGGTAACTTGTTTTGCAAAGGTGTGCATTTTTTATAAAAAATGCACACCTTTGCAAAACAAGTTACCCAGGGAAATTTTAAAGTCTCCAGTCCTTGAGGATTTTAAGATTTTGATCGAATGAAACCTGGAAAATCTGATCCAACTTTGAATTTCTCCATGCTGAGGAAAGAGTGGGATCACCACAACTTTCCTACACTTCCTGCTTCAGAGATTCTCACAGTTATCAGGAGGAAAATAACTTGATTTTTATTAGAGCAGTTACCTTTAAAGTTCAGGATGATTGAATAATGTGATTAGAAGGGACCACTATAGGCAATGCACTATAAATCCCTACCCAAAGCAGGAATAACTTCAAAGTTGGATCAGATTTTCCAGGTTTCATTCAATCAAAATCCTCAAGGAGTGGAGAGTTTAAAATTTCCTGGGTAACTTGTTTTGCAAAGGTGTGCATTTTTTATAAAAAATGTTGGCTTTTCATGAACACTTTTATATTTAAAACATGCATCTATAGCTGCATTTAAAATTTCTGAAATTACTTCTATGATGAGTTACCACCACCCTAAATTTCAATAATACAAATGGTGCAGGACATATTTAGAAATGGGTATCTCTATGTGGCAGTGGCCCAGGTTAATTAGGTTTCTGGTGATCTGTGTTCTATTTCGTATAATTATTGTTTATTACTAATGGATTCATGGAAATTTTCAGGTTGTTTTTTTTTTTTTGTTTTGAAGCACCACTGTTAGTTTTTATAACAATTATCATAGGAAGAGATTTGAACAGCCATTTACAGAAAATAATTCCTTTAGTTTGTTTTTTTTTCCCCTCTTATATTTACATGGATTTAATATTTTCTTGCTGTAAAGAATATGGAGTTTAAAATGTCCTCTCTCTTAGGTAGAAGAGCTGATGAATGCACTGGAAAAAACTAGACAAGAATTAGATTCTACCAAAGCCCGTCTTGCCTCGACACAGCAGTCTTTGGCTGAAAAAGAAGCACATCTGGCTAACCTGAGAATAGAGCGAAGGAAACAGCTTGAAGAAATTCTAGAAATGAAGTAAGTACCTTGATTTCTCTAATTTCTAGGAAAAAAGAAAATTCTTTTGCTGTAGGAGAAAGTTTTGATGGGTTTCTTTTGGTGTTATTTTAAATGTTTTCTCTGCATATGTTTAACTCTGAATTAAAGGACTTCTAATACTTAAAAGGACCTAAATTCCTTTAAAAGCATGGAAGTGCAAAAGTCTTCATTTTAGAAGTACTCAACATTTATTGTAAGTTGTCCTTTGCAAATAAAAATATCAGCACTATATAACTTCTAAGAGAAGCTGAGAATGTAAAGCCCCATCTCTCAGTGGGAATGCAGGGCTGGAATCTCTGCCAGTGTCACATTCAAGGGAAGGGAGTCATTAAATTTCTGTTAATGGTGCAAAGTTTATTACTTCGATTTGGTTAAAAACACCCCCAAACTAACAAAGTTTGCATACACTTTATCACTGTGTATATGTGTTCAGAATGAAAAAGGAAGAGAGTGGTATTAGAGGTGAAAGACTCAGTAGCAAAGATCCTAGTTAGGAATAGTGTGGAATTTAAAATGAGATACAAACATATAGAGTGTTTTTCAGTATAAATTTTAAAACTAAAATAATAGAATTAGCAACTTGGTCCAGTGGAAGGTGCTCCTCCCATGGCAGGGATATGGGAAGTAGATGATCTTCAGGGTCCCTTCAAATCCAAACCATATGATTCTGTTCATAAATGTATTTTAGAAACAATTCAGATATTTCATTACAGTAATGTAATTTTTTGCAATTGCTCACTGAAATAAGTGAAGCAAACTTTATAAAACTGCTGCATTATAACAGAATATACTTGATATTGTTTTTAAAAAATGAACAAGATATTCTCACAAACAGATTTTAGATATTAGCTAGGACCTGGACATTTACAGACAGAATAATGATAATTCTTTTAGTAAAATATAATAAAACGTTGTGTCTTATCGCTGGCATTTTAAGGTAATTTATTAGTTGGAAACATTGGCCATAATTTCTATTTATCGTTTTAAAAATTCAATATTGAGTGATTACAGATTTTTGCTACGAATTTCCAGTTAAATAGGCATGAAGTGTGTGTTTAAGAACATTCTTGATGATTTCCTATGCTTATATTATGTTCAAGTTCCAACCATAACTCTGCATTCTAGGCCCATCTGGCTGTCATTGCCAAGATCCATCTTAATTTACTGGCCACAATCAGCTGTCAGTTTTAGATAATTTCTTCAATTGTCAATTTTTGTTCCCATATAAATTCTGTTATTTATGGAAGTTTAGAATAAAAATGGGTAGCAGCCTGGTCTTGTTCATATCTGGTTGCTTTTTTTGAACTGGAAACAAGATAAGTACTCATTAAATGAAAGTTAGTTTGATAAAACCAACTCTTTCTTCACTTGATGCCAATTTGTGAAAAAATGTTTATTTTAAAGTATTTGAAAGTATAAGTTTGAAGAAGGAGCTGCATTTGCATGTTAATTTCTGAATATGTAATTTTTTTTTTGGAGTGTCTATTAAAAATATCACTATATTAGTTCTGGAGGAAATATTTTTGTTATGGTCATATTATTTTAGCAGTGCACACATAACTCATACTGACATTAATGGAAGTTATGCATACATGTTAACAGTAAAATGCAGCATGTGTTCAAATCCATCATTTTGTCTAATTGTCTTGTTGCTTTGTGCTCTTTCTATCTGTAAGCATAAAACAAAAATCAATGCACTTTTTATTTTTTAGTAAGTGATACTTCAAAAAAATCTCCATTGCATGGTGTGACAGAAGCCATGGTAATGCTATTTTAAAAATGTATTTATCATCCATAGAAATATTTCAGTTGGCCTGAACTTTAAATATGGTAGTTAGAAATATATCCTGAGAGTGCTTTTTCCAGACATTGTTTTTGTTTTCTGAGAGTCCACAAGTAGGAGCCCAACCTCCTGAGAATTTCACAAGGCTTGCCTAGAAAAGCTTATTCATTTTGTAACATGAAGAGCTTGAGGGTAGGAGAAGTTTCAGCACTGTGATGTGGTGGAGATTTGTCAGATGTTTCACAAATGCCATATTTGTTCAGCATACTTTCATGACCACAATGCTTTCATACAGATCTCCTTTCCTATGTGGTGGTTCCTTCCAAAACTCATAAACCTGCTTGTAACAAAATTAGGTAGCTGTATAGATAGATGAATGAGTATTTATATAATATTAAAATTGCCTTATATATATATGTATGGGAAATAAATGCTGCCCTCATGGAAAGTGGGTTTTGCTCCATGGGACAGATCATCTTTTTAGAAATGGTCAAAATTATTTTCCCTTTGGAAGATATAAAGTTTGACCTGGAGAGCCAAAAGTCATAAAAGAAAGTCTAAATGGCATGTGGTGGAAAAGATATAAAAATGATTGTCACTCTTTTTGTTAAGTTTATAGAAATGATTGTCACTCTTTTTTTAAGTTCAAGTTTTAAAGTATATGCATTTTATCTTCAACTGCAACCTCTAAAGTTAAAAAGGAAACACAAAACTCCAAAACCCAAGGTCCTCCCGAATTTTGTTATCAAAATTTAGTGGTTTTTTGGTTGAAAATCTTTAAGTTAACTTTCTGTGATGTTTGCTCTACTTATTGTTTAAATAAAAGGTTAGAAAATATTTCATGGTGGTTTTGCATTAATTTGATGATCTTTCAGTGACTTAGTTACATGTGGCAAACACTGCTCTTAATGAGTGGCCATGTGATTAATCCCCCAAAAGACTGAACTTCATGTTTTGACCTGAAGATCTGGCAAGTCTTAATTTTTGAGATTTAGTTGTTAATTACTGAGTGTTTCCTCTGTTAACTCAGCATACTCAATGCTCTGAAGGTTTCAGAATTCTTGCCAAGAGTTTGAAAGGCAATTTCCTTGCCTTTAATAGAGTTCATGCCATCACCTGTGGGTATTGCTAAATCAGTTTTGTTGTAATTGACTGTGCCCTGAAATTCACTGCAAATTTCCAGAAGAAAATATATTTTCCCTTATGTGAAATAAATCAGATGATTAGTAATGAAGCATTAAAGATCCCGTAAGAAAAACCCAGCTACTAGTTATTTTATTCAGTAACAAAAATAGAACATTACCGTGCTCTCCAAAAAATATATTTTAAATTTGATTTTGCAGTAAACCATCTTACAGTGTTTGTAAGAAAGTTTGTTTAAGTATGGTCCTTTGTTTAAGTACAGTCACCATTTTTTCACTGAAAATACTAAAAGAATATTGCTTATCTTTGTTATTCAGTAGATTTATTCATTTAACAGCACCTGTGATCAGTCAGGGATGAAAAATATTTGTGAGAAGAAGGGAATAAAATGTTTTTTTCCATTAAGCATTTAGTCCCAGCAGTGCCACTCTGTGCAGAAGTGCTGAACACGCAGTGCCCTTTGAAGCCTTGGCCAGTGGCCCAGCTGCTCTGCCAGCCCAGGAGGGGACACTTGGATTTGCCACTAGATGCCAGTCTTGGGTGCAAACCACGGCTGGAGTCTGAGCAGCCGCAGGGGATGGGCAGGAGGCTTGTCCTGCTGGCAGGAGAATGTGCTTTGTCCCCTGTCTGTCACCTGCTCTGACTGCCCTCCTGCCTAGGAGAGCAAAGCTCCCGGCATGGAAAAGCATACCAATGGCTTCCAGTGGACTTTGCAGGATATTGCAGGGATGAAGAGGGTCTTTCAATGGATTCTGGAAGTCAGGGGTCACAGCCTAAGGGAAGGACTGTGTAAAATGTAGAACTAAAGAGTCAGAATTTGTACAGGAGTAAAAATGCTTTATGAAGTACTAGTGGCAGAAGTATAAGAAAGTTTACCATTCATCTGGTTTTCTGCAGACATACCCCTTTTTTCCATCTATAAATTTTACTGGAGTAGAAGTTGGGGATTTCACATCTGTGTAGCAGCTCAGCAGGAGTTTCAGCTCTGACAAGAGCTGTTGGATGTGCAGAGAATCTATCTAGATGTGTTTCCAGCACCCGGACAAATCAGCTCATGTCCCTGCCTTACATTATCCTATTACAATTTCCATCCATCACCATCTGAAACTGACACCTAGGGAGGGAACTCAACATGTTTGCCTTTATTTATGTCCTAATTGCTCAACCCTAAGAGGTTCTGACACCCACAGGAGAGTGGTTTCTTCCACATTGCTGTGGATATGGCAATAGTGAAAATGCTTCTGAAATCTCTGTGTGAGTAGTAAATCCAGTGCATCTGGAATGTTTCAGAGTAATTATATATGCAATTCACCTGTTCAGGGCAAGCACAGGCCAGAGGCATGACACAGGAAAATTCCTGATGAAATTGCAGGGACTCTACTTGCATGTAGTCATGAAGTTAATTTCCCTTTTTTTGGTTCTTCCATAGAGCATGAAGGAGGAGGAAAGGAATATAGCAAGGTAGGAGAAATTGGCAAAGTGATTGAGGGTTGGAACTGCTCTTTGAAACGTGTGGAACTCACTTAAAACCACTTAAAAGGGTGGTTTCCCTACAGACCCAGCTGCTTTCTGTGTTACAGCCAGGCAGAGCTTTCCCTGCACCCATCTTTCCCAAAAGGAAAGCAGGAAGGGAGATAATCCAGTCTCTTCCCTCCGCTGGAACCTGAGGTGTCTCACTGAAAGGTGTTGGCAAGGTTGCTTAGTTTTATGCTTCTTTTTAAATGCTGCTATATTCTAAAAACAGCCAGTACCTTCCTTGGAATAATTCTAGTTCTACTGAATGAGCAGTAGTGGATACATCACAATAAATGAGTCTCTTTGAAGTTTAAGCAAATACAAAAAGAGTTCTTATATTATTAATATAGAAAGAAGAATATTTTTTCTACGTTTCCAGCTGTATTTCAGTTTATATTTGGAGAAGGATATCTGTGATAATTTCTCTAATCTGAAATATTTAACATGTCTTTACTTGGTAGTTTAGATAACAGAATGTGTATAAATAGTGTATAAATAGCTTTAAAAATCATTTTCAGGAAGACATTTACTATTTTTT